ATTCCTGCTCTCTATAGTTGAATTCTGTCCTTAAATACTGCAGTAAATTGTAATGAGGGGGCCTATTTTTACATGTAGTCCAGAGTGAGGATTATTTTAAATAATTTCTGGATATTATAGTTTGATTTTATGTCCCAGTACAATAAATTCTGAGACTCCAAAAGACTATATTTATTGTATTAGTTATGCTATTATCATTCTGAAACTGTTGGTTGCATATTGTGACATAGACTAGTGGTTATTGATTAAATTATTTTTATTTATTTATTTAGTATTTTGAGACAGGATTTCTCTTTGTGGTCCTGGCTGTCTTGGAGCTAGCTTTGAAGACCAGGCTGACCCTGAGCTCACAGAGATCCAAGTGCTGGGATCAAAGGCGTGTGCCACCACCGCCCAGCTAATGTATTTACTTTTTAAAACTAATTCATTCTAATTGTTAGTTAAGTTCCTTTTCCATTTCATCACTAGAAAATAAGATTGCTAGCAGTTTTAAGCATTTATGTTTTTCAGCTTTATTGCTTATAGAAATTTTCTTAATATTTTCATAATTTGTTAGCTGCTGCTGCTTCTCCAGTTTTTTGTTTTGTTTTGTTTGTTTTTTTGATAGGTTTTTGTGTGTGTGTGTGTGTGTGTGTGTGTAGTCCTGACTGTCCTAAAATTCATCCTGTAGACCAGGTCATCAAAGGTGCCCACCCCAACGCCCAGCAGCTTCTTTTTTCATGGTTAAGCTTTTGGTTTTAAATGGACCATTGTAAGTAGTTTAGCAAAACAAAAAACCAAAGAAAAACAAAGACTGTATCAGAGACTTACATACTTTTAGATTTTCCTTATTTATTTAGGTGCTTGGAAATGAACCTAGAGTTTTGCACAAGCTAAGCTTACCTCTATGACTGACCCACCCTCCCACACCTCACTTATCTTTTCATTTAACTGTCTTATAAATATCATATAAATTAATATTTATAATGACTGATTCACAGTTTCCTTTTATATATATGTATATATATATATATATTTTAAAAAGTGTCCAGAATGAATGTGGCATTCTAATTGTGTTCTAGCACAAATGAAATCAAAATGGTTCTCTGTGAAAGAGGGTGCTGGGGTGGTTCTCCACACTGTGCTGCAGAGCCCATGCCCTTTCCCTCTAGTTGTTGACATAGTTTTGCTGTGTCAGACCAGCCTTGTAAGAGTGTGCCACCCCAGTCATAGACAAACTCTGTCTTTGACACCTAACCTATTTTGTGTATGGCAAGTTATTAACCTTTTTGTGCCTATGTTTTCTTATTTGTGAAAATTAACAGTTTGAAGATAATAATTACACTTGGAGTTCATTTGCCTTAATTAAAATAATGAAATGAAATTACTTTGCATAGTGCTGGTACAAAACATTGAATAAATAACGTTGTGATAGTGTTAGTGGTAAGATTTAAGCAGTGTTGGTACTGGCAGTGCTAACAGGGTTGTGTTTCAATGCAGTAGGAGTCCTTTCCTCAGTGATGTTATATTTGTGTTCACCTTTAGCTGCCCCATGATTTAGTGCAGATGTATGTACATATATGCACCTATGGATAATTCTTTAACATTTATTTATTTACTTATTTTATGTTTAAGAGTGCTCTATTGGCTTATGCCTTAAGACGGCATGACATACCACTTTAGATGGTTGTGAGCCACCTTGTGGTTGCTGGGAATTGAACTCAGGACCTCTGGAAGAACAACTAGTGCTCTTAACCGTTGAGCCATCTCTCCAGCCCCTGATTCCTACTTCTTTTTGATGATTTTCCATCTTCTATTTGTCTTACTTTTAGTTCTGTTTATACCAACTTGCTTTGTTTTTGAACTGTGTTTTTAAACTCATAATTGTTCATTTTATTCCCAAACTTTCACCTAAAATAATGGTGAGTTCATTTTAATTCTTTTCAGTTTATTAAAAAAATGTATAAATGAAAAATTCAAAGGGTAAAAAAAATAAACCCACAGCTTTCTCATTTTAGCCTGCAAACTAAAGGACTAAAATTTCTAAAGAAATAGGGGGAGAGTGCTGGCCTGCTATGCATGAGACCCAGGGTTCTATGCTCCAAACTGCAAAATAAAACAGAATTTTCATTTAGTTGTTTTTAAAGATTATTGGTAAGATTGTTTAACCATACCTTTACCAAGACAAGTGTGTCTTTAGCTCCATTACATGTTATACCCAGACTTGCTTGGCCAAGAATGCTGAATTAATCAAACAGCCTCATCTATCTGTCTGTCTCTTATGATGCAAATGGAGAAGCTTTGTGGGTCTTGTCAATGATTTTATATTTTTGTCTTATATGTAACTGCTGTGTTATAAGTTCATTGATTATTTATGTATATATTTTTATCAATGATTGTTTTATGAAGAACAGTTTCTTAGAAAGGAAGATGTAGGTACATTTGTAAATAGAATTAGGAGTTTTCCCGGAAGCCAGAGAAGAGGAGGGATTGACTAACATTCTCATCAGGGTCAGATGATATTCCAAGCTTGATGGATTTCATAGTTTGTCACAACTATTTGTGGCTATGGAGACGTCATCACCACTAGTAAAAGGAAATTGATCCCTGCTTATTGACCAAACCAAAGTAAAGAAAACAAAAACACCCAGACTCTGCTTATATACTCTTCTTTGCTGATCTTTGTTCTTAGTGGCATAGATAAGAATGATAGCTATAGTGATGGAGAAAACTGGATCAATTTCAAATTCACAGTACAAGTAAAATTGAGATGAATTGGATCTGATAGGGCAGAAGAAGGGACATATTCATGTCAACCCTCTATAGAGAGCACCAGAGTCTTAGCTCATATGTGGATCAGTTTCATAATTGAAGACACCATTGCACAAATTTTGTCTTCAGATTTGTATCTTCAAACTGCCGTAGTCCCAATTGAGATTTGTAGCAACTTGTACCAACAGCTTTGTGGATTTTTGTTTTTTTGTTTGTTTGTTTTTTGTTTGTTTTTTGTTTGTTTTTTGTTTTATTTTGGCCTCCTGGTTGAATTCTGTACTCATCCTGGCAGAACCATAGCTTCGTTTGACCAGACTTTGCTTAATTTTCATTTCACTACTTAATGTGATTTCCTATTAAAGTCTCACAGTGACACATTACAGAAATAAATGGAGACTGCTAGACTGGACCAACTATGGGTTATTTAAAGGGTAATTTCCAGCAATAACAAACCATTCTTCTTTTATTGATTTAACTGTCATCAATACAAGAACCTGGTTAAACATTAAAATGGTATGAAAAGATGGACAGTAAAAGCTAATTCTTTCAGTGAAGACTCCATGTACCTGCTCCTTTTTCCTATAGTTAACAATTTCTCGTATTTTTTCTAGAAACATTGTCAATATGTACACAGTAGAATACCTCCACCCCCTTATCCTGAGCACAAATGAGACTAGACTGACTAGACCTTGTCCTTTTCACTTAATCGGTTAACACAGATCCACCTTATTCTTTTAAAAAAGCTGTGAGTTCAAACTTATTGATGGACATATGTTGTTACTCGTTTGCAATTATAACATGCTAAAGAGTATCCTTTCTATGTTATTCATTTCTGTAAGAACATTTTAGTGTGTCTTTGAGAACTTCTTAGCCAGGAAATTGTAATATTAGAAGTACAAACCTGATATTAGAGTGACCAGGACAAAGGCAGAATTTTAAGTATGCTGTTCTTTATTTGTAATCATTTATTCTTTAGAACCTTTGTTATTCCCTCTGTTACATATGGACTGACTCTTCCTCAGCGCATTTCTTAGACCGCTTACACGTTTTATATGGGACAGAAGGACTTTGGCATGTTGCTTCTTTGGTTCCCTACCGTGGTTGCCGCTGTTTCCCACAGCAGCCCTCACTGTTTCTGTTAGAATGTTAACTGTCTTTCTGCGCCAAGCAAAGCTTCCTGTCTCCTGTTTGTCCTTTGAGTATCTTGCGTTGGGTTACTTAATCAGACGTTGTTGGTCTATATCTTTCAAATCTTTGTATCCTTTTTAGAAATCTCTAAACTTAGTTGATATTTAAAGCCATAGATTATTCCCATGGTTTAGTTCATCTGAAGACATTAAGTCTTGTTCAAATCCTCTGTTAATATTCTCATATATCTATTTTGTATTTCTAGAATAACCTTCCCTACAAATATTTCATTTCAAAGGAATACTTAATCTTTTGGATAGAAAAGAATATTCCCCGAATAGATTATTTATTGAGCAGTATGAAAACCAGTGCTTTGCTTGCTCTTGGATTATTTTTTCATGTTTAGGTCTCTTGAGGTCTCAAGAGTAAACTTGTAAAAGATTTAAATTACAGAACCTGTAATTTAGCACAATGTGCATTTGAAAATAGCAAAAAAGGCAATGTGGGGCCATGCAGGAAGCTCAGTTGGCAGAGTTCTTAAGACCACTTAAATGCTGGGCCTAGCAACATGTCTGGAACTAAGGGAGAAGGAGCAAAGACAGATAAGAAACTGTGTGGTGTACCTAATGTTTAATTTGTTTCAAGCTGGGTTGCAGGAACACACACCTGTAGTCCTAGCTGTGGGACTTAGGTAGGAGAATATGAGTTTAGGCACAGCCCTGTTTCAAAAATAAAATAAAATTAAACTTGCTTCATAAATGTTCATCTTATTTCACTTTCTGTTGCTATAACAATATCTAGTACTGAATGATTTATGAAGGAGAGAGTTCTGAAGTCTGAGAAGCGGAAACTCCCAGCCGCTATTCATGTAAGGAGTCGCTCCCTACACTGCTACCCACTTCACAAAACACAGATGTGTTTCACAGGAGTGAAAGTCCGCTCACTCCTGCCCAGTCCCATGAGAAAGGAAGCCTTAACATGAGTTTGGGAAGGGGTACTCTAAACCATAAGGTTATTTTGTCCACATTTCACCTTATGTCTTTTAAAAAGCGAGCAAAATGCACAGACATGTCTAATTCTTTGAGTGATCCTGCCTGATAGAGCGTTTCCTTCTGTTGTAGACATGGAGTCTGGAGAACGACTGCCACCCTCCCCAGCCTCCTCCGCTACACCAACGGCATCTGCTCCTGCTGTGGCTTCAGTGGTTTCCAAAAGCGGCCTTTCCTCGGGACCTGCTTCACTTAGCTCTGCAGTCAACCCATGTGGTGAATATCCTTTTATACTTGATTTTAGAGCACCGTTCTTTCCATGGTTCTGTGTTTGTAACACTGCACTCTGAATAGCATGTTGTTCTCTTGACCTTGGATAATGTCTGGGTTAAATGTGTAGCCTTTTGGTTTTGTCTGGATTTTACTCTGGGAAAGCACTAATTTCTCCTGGTTTTCCACACTTGTAACTCTTCTCTGAGAATTTAGTTTAATTTCTTTTTTTATTGTTTTTATTTAGCTATACATTTTTTTCTGCTCCCCTCTGTTATTTCTTAATACCCACATAACTAATTCGTTAGTAAATGTAGAGTTACAGGCACATGAAAGAAGGAAGAAATACAGATGTCCTTGGCACAGGTTCTCTCTGTCCTAAGTCCCCCTCAACAATGTGGATTGACAATGCAGTGAGTTTGTGAGACAGTGCAGGAATAACACACTTTATCATTAAAAAAAAAATAAGTCCACTCTTTAAGAATATGTGGTTTTGCTTTTTTGAATCACCGAAAGTTGCCCACTTAAAGAGTGCCCATACCTCTTTATTCTTGGCATTCGCAGCAAAACCATTCAGGGATGTTTAGGACCAATGAAACATTGATCTCCAGAATATACCTTTAGTTTTATTGCCATACTTAAGGTTAAAAAAAATATCATTGCAGTAAGAACAGATAGAACTCTCAACATGTATGGGTTTTATTGGTTTTATGAAAAGAGTGATAATCACATCTAACAGGCTGTGGACACAGAACCTGTAAAGAACAAGCGCCAAGCTAGCAGGAGTGGTTGGCCCACTCATCCTAGTGCCTGTAAGGATATTTTTGTTCATCAGGAAAACAAAGCCAAACTACCTTTTCTTTGCCCCAACGAGGGCTTGTCCATCTCCTTGGAGCCTTTCCATAGAACAGCAGTTGATGCATACCTTAGTCAATATCAGGTGCCTCCCTACATCTTGGCTCCAACTAAAAGCTCAGAGAATGACATTTAACATAATTAAATAAACCAACCTCACAGAGTGCATTTGTTTGAGATTTTGGCTGTTTGGCCTAATACAGAGATAGAGCTTTAAGAAATTTAAATAGTAGTTCATTTGTACCATAGTCCGCTGCTTTCTTTCCCCCCATGGTGGTGTCCATTTTGGAAGTAGATTTCCTTCAAACAAATGCTAAATCACAGGCAGAATCTGTAAAACTGGTAAACTAAGACTGCTCTGGTTATGGCTACAGTCAGCATGCTTATCTTTAAATTAGCATTTATATCATTATCACTCTTCTCTGCAAATGTGTGCCAGGTCAGCATACACTGAGGAAATTGCACTGTGATTAATGTCTCAGTGCTGTTAGGATGTATGTTAGGTTCAGCAATGATTAACTACGCCAGGAAAGCATGGGAGACACGCCGCTCACAGATGGGCACCGGGGTGTTCTCAGATCCTGAGGCTCTGGGTTTTAAATCTGTCTCCTGAAGTGTGAGACTTTGATTCTCACATGTGTACCTCACAGCTTCATGAGGGGTGTTCCATCTAGAATACCTCTTCAGATCAGGCCAGGAGAATGAGGTAAGTAAGCCAGGGTTGCATGCCAATAGAATGGAAGCTTTTCCCAGACGCCCCACCTAGAGATTTCCACTGAATCTCTTTCCTCAGAACTGTGTGAGTGATAGTCTCAACTTCAAGGAAGGACAGGATGTATGGGTTTAACAGACCATATTACAACCTTGAATAATAACAATAATAATAATAGGGCTTCTGTTAAGAAGGAAGGAAAGCTGGCTTGGTTGAATTATATGTGCTGCAGTGTTGTGGAGGAGAGAGAAAAGAAGCCCAAGCTGGGGAGTAGGCCATGACAGAACATTTAGAACCAAATTTGACATTCATAAGAATTTATGCAGAATAATATAATGATTAAAATCAATATAACCATGAGATCAAACCTTGTCTTGTCTACCTATTAGCTCTATGAGTTACCTTTTCTTAAGGTTCAGTTGCCTCATTTGTAAGGCAGGAGTAACAGCTGCTTTTAATATTATGATAAACGAAGTACTGACTGTCGTATAACTGGTGCATAGTAAATTGTAACCATTGTCTTTTCTTATACTCTATCTAGTAAGAATGGTTTGGTTTAGAGACAGTGCTCTCAGGTATCATTTCTACCAGTGTGTTTAGCTTCAGTTTGTAAGAAGAATATAACGAGAGGCCTTAAATTTATATTCATATTTATCATTAGCTGCTTACTTTTATTCATATGAAAAAATGATGAAGGCCCAGAAAAGGTTTATTGGAAATGTGGTAAGAAACAAGGCTCTGGAGATATTTGATAATAGATTCTCTGGGATACGAAGACTGCATTTGTAGAAGGAAGCATATATTGAAAGAGAAGACTTGGCATGACTTGGTGGTGTGCTTACTGCAGCGTGACGTAATGAGAGGGAATATATTTGTAAGCATACAGGACTGGGTTATCTTTCTATTTGTTATACACAAGTTGTATGCATACTTTTATCTGTGTTACTACTGGTAGAAGTTTTAAATATTTACAGTTTTTAATCAATTCTAAATACTGTCATTAAGAGCATCATTATATATAGATACTGATATATGTAAGTGAATACTGGTACCCATTGTATCCCCTTTTCTACCAGATACTTTTAATAATCCCAATCTGGGCAACAACTAGCACTGTCAGACTGTGAGGGGTTTTTGGTCAGTGATGTAGTGCTTCATTGAGGTGTCTTTGTAGCTTTTTGTAAGGTTTTTAGCTTTCAGGGCTTCTTTTCTTTTTTTAATCCCTCTTTAGGGCTTTTCATGTTTCTGTGTTACTATTTTTCCCTAAGTCTTTATGAATGGTCTTATTTATGAGATCTTTTTTTAAATTTATTTATTTATTATGTATACAATATTCTGTCTGTGTGTATGCCTGATGGCCAGAAGAGGGCACCAGACCCCATTACAGATGGTTGTGAGCCACCATGTGGTTGCTGGGAATTGAACTCAGAACCTTTGGAAGAGCAGGCAATGCTCTTAACCACTGAGCCATCTCTCCAGCCCATTTATGAGATCTTTTACAATTATATGTATGGAATCAATTTTTCACAATTTGATGTGTATATTTATTTGTTTGTTGTATATTTTGATAATGAAACTCCTAACGTTGATAGTTCCATTTTCAGAGATTTTATTTCTGGTTGCTTTTTTTTCTTACTGAAGAGATCCTGCTTTGCATCTGAAGTTAAGCATTTATATTTTACTAACCTTTTAGCTTATTCTAATCTGGCTACTATTACAAATTACCACATAGCTGATAATTTATAAGTATTAAAAATTTATTATTCACAGTTCTGGAAGCTGGGAAGTCCAAGATGAAGGTACCACCCGACTCAGTGTCTGGTAAGTGTCTCACAATTGTTTTCTTTTAGTGTTGCAGAATCCTGGCTCGGTACTTACTAAGTTCTTAATATGAAAAGACACTTACGTGGCATTTTATTCTGATGGTAAAAAATTTAAACATTATGGGTAAATATCTGGTGACTGATCCCTGGCTCACAACAGACATGGCAGGGAAGTAGAAAGAGAAATAGTTGTTTGGAGAAGGGACCAAGCACAGGGTGGCATTGCTTTATAACCATCTGGTGTCCATGAGAACTAAACTGTTCTGAGAACTACAGGAATCACTTCTGATGGTACCCTGGGACCAAATCATCTTCTTTAAGGCTTCATCTTTTAACATGCTGAGGTATGTATGTCCAACACTTTAGGGGACAGACCTAGGGGACAAACCGTATCCAATCCACAGCACTGAAAGCCTTTTTCCGTAGAGATTTCACCTTCTTGTGTCTTCTCCCACATGGTAGAAAAGGGAGCAAAACAATTTGTCTAGCTTTTTCAGGGCAGTAAGGTTCACAGCCTCAAGAAATCACTGCAAAAGTGGAAAGGTAGGAAGATGGTTGTGAGTGACTTTTCCTGGGTGGAAATAAGCAAACATCTGTTCACTCCAAACAGGGAAGCAACAGCTGACCAAAGAAACAGTTCACCCAAATCTAGCCCAATGGGTCGCATTTGGTTTACTTGTAGGAATGTGGGCGAAGTGTTTATTACAGGAGCATGGGTGACTCAGTAGCAGCTGCATCATCAAAGTTCCATGCTAGCATGGATGATCATTCTCGAAAGCTGTTTCCCTGAAGCTCTGTGCATAACTTATGGGTAGCTCTGCATGTTGGAGAGGCCATTCTCCCAAACAATCGTTACTGCTTTTATTATCTTCCAGAGGAGTTTTATGAATTTTGTAAGTTTCAGGAGACATCGGAGCCCTATAAATTTCCTTTGCTTTTTAAGTCCCGTGAGTTGGGAGGCAATAGGTACAGAACATAGTTTTTTAACATCTCTTCTAAGAGCACTATAGTGTATTGGTAAGGAGAACAGCTTTCCCAATTTCTTTCCCGAAGGCCCTACCTCATAATACTGTCTCTTTGCAGTTCTTACATACAAATTTTGAGGGAACACCAACATTCCCATTTCTACTATATAGAAAAGTACCTGATTGTTAGGTATCTGACCGTTGTAACAGACTGAATTTAGCCTTTGAGTTTTGAAATTCTTACCTGTTGGATTTTGATAATATGTATCAAGTCAGCTAGAGATAACATATACCACTAAAAGTATTTTAAGTAGAATGAAATTTAATTAAACTGAGTACTTAAGAAACTATAAAATAACTGGCTCCTGGTTCCCATGACTGACTTCAGAATATTGCCGCCTAACATAGCTGTTAAGGAAGTTACCTCTGGTTTAATTCAAGCCACTCTCCCAACTGCTGACTTCATGATTTTACTACTTTACCTGCAATCTGGTAGACTTCAACCCCCTCCAGCCCCTTCCTAAAGAAATAAACAAATTAAAAAAAAAACAAATAAATGATCTAGGGCTTGAGACAGAAGGAAGACAGCTCGGACAACATGGCAACTGTCAAAATTAAAAAGGGCTAATAATGTATTTAATGGCTAGAGGCATACCTAGAAATTTTTGAGTTCAATCCCAGTGTTGAAGAAATCAGAAAAGGTAAGAAGGAGGGAAGGCAAAATGAGTAGAAGGCAGAGAGAAGAAGTCAACTCTGTCTATATATGTGCTTACTAATTTTCTCTTCTATACTTTTTGAGCAATCAAATAATTAAGTGTAATAAATACTCACAGAAATACAGCTTTTAACTCTTACAGGAAATGCAAATATTGATTATTCCCGTTATAAAGATTATTAAGGTCTTTTCAAGTACTTCATTCTTTCTATATAGTATCATTATTTTAATGTACCAGATCGTGTTTGGGGATATGAGGAGGACATTCCTAAAGCCTTCCTTTACCCAAAAACTCTTCTGATGCCTGCTCTGTTTTCTACTGAAGTTTTTACAATCACGCTTTCTCCAAGACCACACCATGTGCTTCTGTTTCTTTGCCTTCTGTGCATATTCTGGCTCACAGCAGGGCCTCTCTTCCTTAGCCCTGTCACTTCACAGCTGACAGCTGACCAATCTTGCCTCCTAACTTCTGGGATATAGCTCTTAGCTTTTCTGTTCTCTCTCTAGCTCCAGCTTCTTAGATCTTTATTCATTTCCTTGGTTGGTTTTATTTGACTTGGGATTTGCTGATTGCTTTACTCATAAAGGTGAACTTGCCTATGTCTTGGTCCTGAGGATTTTTATCTCTTTGCTGTTTAAATGGACCTGAATGAAAACTGTGAACTTTCTCAGATCCTAATTGTACACATTTTATATATATGTTTTATAGACATCTCAACCGTAACAGACGAACAAACACAAATCAGAAGTTTTCATTTTCTGCTAAAATCAGTTTCTCTTACGCTCATCCTCATTCATTCAAATATTCGGCACTGTTGCAGAGGTCCAGTGGCTTCCATCATTGTTTTCACTCTCACATAATGATATCAATGATCCTGCTTTCAATTTAAGTTGTAGCTCGTACCTTCTTTCCGGCCCGCTGTTACTTCAGTAGGTGTACAAGAACCTTCCTCCGGTGTCACTGTAGTTCACCAAGTGCTCTCTCCACTTCCTTGCTTTGTCACCTTTAATTTGTTCCTCTTATAAAGCAGTGAAGGAAATAATGAAAACTTCTCACATTTGGGTTTTCCCTTGGTTATAATTTATGTACAGCAATAATTTCCACATTTGCTTACAGCTGTCTGTTTTAACTATGATGGGTAGGGAATTGTGTGTGAATCTGGGAAAAACTGATGGAAGGGAAGTTAATATAACCAAAACACATTGTTCAAAAACTTTATAGAATTTTTTAAAAACCTGACAGAGACTTTAGGCACTTTTGAGTTGATCTGGGCATTTGGGAAAGTAAACTTTGGCTCTATATGAAAGTTTACCCAACATAGTTTAAAAAAAAAAAAACCCTCCAGAATTCTGAGGCCATGCAGTCTAATTAACACTGGAATATGATAACAGACAAATTTAGTTTAACCTCTGCAGTTCATGGTGAAAGTGTAAGTATGCATAGAAGAAAGCATGTGTGTACCCATGTAGCTCCATGTTATCCACCCCTTCGGGGTTCCATCTTTATTTCCACCCTGGAAGCCACTGCCCTGCTTTCTGCCACTTTGGACTGTTTCTGTCTGGACTTTTATTTAAATTAAGTCATGTGTGCTTTTGTGGCTTGTGTCTTTCATAATTCTTTTTAAATAGTTGTATTATTGTTTATATAGTAGCTCATTCTTTTATCTTACTAATTATATTTTGTTTTATAACTGTGCCAGAATTTGTGTAATCATTCACCTGATGATAAGACATTGCAGTGTTTTGGCTTGAGGCGATTATGAGTGTTCAAGTTACAAGCTCTTGTGTTTACACATGATTTTATTTCTCTTGGGTAAATATGAGCATTGGGATTGCTAGAGAGTATTCTAAGTATATGCTTAGTTTGAAATTTGGCAAGTGTTTTTCTAAAGTGTCTGTACCATTTATTTTATTCTCTACACGCAGCACTAAGTAGTGCCTAAGCTTAGTGTGTCATTAAAGAACATTTTAAACCAACACAGTTGATATGTTATAGCATCTGTCTAGATTTGGTTTGGTTTTTAGTTTTTTGAATTAAATATGAGTACATTTTTCCCTTTCCCTTTCTTCCTACCAACCCTTCCAGTGCATCACCCTATACCTTGCTCCCTCTCAAATTCATGGTCTCTATTTTGTAATTGCTACATACATATTCCTAAACATATGTAAATACAGACTGCTCAGTCCATTAATGTTCCTTGTCTGTGTGATTTCAGAGCTACTTGGTGTTGTTTTTAGTGTCGTTTCTCTGAAGACCGATGGAGACCTGCATGTACTCATTTGTCATTTGTATACTTTCCCCATAATGGATTTATCCAGATATTTCGTTCATTCATGCTAGAGGCTGTCTTTCTTTCCAACCTGTGTAATTTTTGTTTCTTTCTTTGCTTCATGAACTTTTACTGTTTGGTAAGATATCGAATAGAACTGATGATGACAGACATCATTAACTTTTGAGTATTTTTTTTATTTAATTTAGTATCGATTTTGTCATATGATTGTATCTAGTGAGATGCTGACACAGCCTTGATTTTTAACTTGCTAATAAGGTGAAGTAATTGACTAATTTTTTTTTATATGGTAAACCATTTTAACAGCCAGGGATCTAATTCCAATTAATCATGCTGTATTGGTCTTTTAAAACATTGTTGATGTGATTTGTTGAATTTCTATTAGGCAGCCTACATGAGTACTCACCAGGATTATTGCTCTATTTTTCTTTCCTGTTATTTTCTGTTGGAAATTATTTGGGACAGTTCCCAGTCCTACTGTGTTCTGGAAGAGTATATAATTGTTTTTACTTTTCTAAATATTTGACAAAGTTAAGCTGTGAGGTCATCTAAGCATTGAGATTGTTTGGGGTGTGTGTGTCTGTCTGTTGTCTATCTGTGTCTCCTTGTGTGTAAACTTTTATTATTGTAAGATATTAAGCCATAGCTTTATCTTTGATGAACAGGTACAGCTGGGGGTAGATGAGCTCATTGGTTGGTGTCTTTCCTATGTTCAGGATGTCCTGGTTTTAATACTTAGTAACAGATATGTCAACACTTCAGGTTATCTTTGTATTTAAGTGAGATTTGGTCTTTGAAGGGATTTATCTGTTGTTGAATTTATGAGTCCAAATTGTAGTACTTTCTTTTTCATTGTTAATATTCATACTGTGTGCCTTTTCTCATTTTGTAAACATATACTGATTTCATTGATCTTTTTAAAGAATCGAGTGTCTGAATTTTCTTAAGCTTTTGTTTTCTGTTTCAGTGATTTACACCTTATCTTTATTATTTGTCTTTTTTATTAGTATGATTTCTTTTTCTTTTT